CCTCTTCCCAGGCCCGATGAAGGCAGTGGAGGTCGAGAGCTGGCCGTTGACACTGGCTGAGTTCCAGGGCTGGGTTTACAGGGTTCTGCTCGGTTCTGATCCGGATGGATGAATAGAGGTATGAGCTTGGGTAACTGCAGCAACCATGTCCTCCCAAGGGGCCGGAAGCAGACCATGGCCACTGTGCAATGCTGAACTTGGAGCGGAAACAGGCCTTCTCTTTGCCCTGGTTCCTGGCCTAGGCTCTGCTCGCCTCTATCGGTTTCTCTAACTGTTCGGGCATGGACGGATGGACGGAAGTTTCCAGGAGCGGGGCAAAGGATGGCCGGTCCCTGTGGCCACAGAGGTAGGGCTGGGCAGGGAGCTGGAAGCCTGAATAATTGCTACCAGCTCTGAGGGCCCAAGTGGACCTCAGCAGGCAGGGTCCTGGGAACCGCACAACTCAGAGGCCTTCATCTTCCCTGCTGTGATGCCCGCCAGGGGAACTAAACAGCGAAAGAGGGCCCCCGAGGTGTGCATTTGGCCTCCCAGAACGTGCAACTGGAAACGACCTTGACCTTGTACAGGGCGAAACAAAAGCCTAGATGAGCAGCCAACCCAAAGTATGTCATCACCAGGGGCAACGTGGCGGCTGCACTAGCTGCCTCCCAAGCCTGGGAAGTCGTTGTTCCTCGCAGCGGGGTGGGTGTTTGTTTTGATTTTTTTTTTTAAGCCTGAACCAAATCAGCTTTTTAAAATGCTGCTCCAGGACAAGGCATCACTTGCAGATGGGCTGAAAAGGCAGATGCTGGCCGAGTGGATACATTCCAACAGAAACCCTGCAGGGTCCCAGACATTCGCAGCTCCTGCCCAAGACCAAAGCCTCCTGAGGTTGGTGTGTGCCCATTTTTTTCAGACAGCACCTTTCATGGAGGAATGGAGTTCAAAGGTCAAATGCTTCTCCACCTTTTCTCCGAGACGTTAGAAATCTCAACCTGGAGAGGGCCATGTGTCCTAATTGCATATTGTCATACACATTCAGTTCATTTTCCCATCAGACCAAAAGCAGCGCTAATCCAGCTGGGTGGGACAAGGCTTCTTAGTGAAGAATGGAGATAATGATGGCAGAATACCATCTTCCCTTGTTTCAAAAAGGACATGAAGTCAGCACA